GCTACATCAAGCTAATTGTTAGAAAACAGGGGCTGAGCAGAAGAAGAGGATTGTAGGAGCAAAGTTCACATTCAAACCAACAGTTTACGATTTACTTTGCTAATTTTTAACAAGCTTAAAATTAGTCTAACATCTAATTCAGTTACATAAACTTGAACAATGGCATTCAATGAACACATTTTCTCAACCCAGTTCACACAAAGCTGAAGTTAGAAGGAGTTTCTGTTTCATTTTTAAGAAAACAATACAACTATAATGAAATGTTGTTCATACTGGGTATTAGTTTTATTTCCATTTTTTATTATTCTTGTTATTCATTTCTCGATGAGTGGTTTAGTCAGGTTATCCCCACATTTCATAAAATTCTAACCAGTAAATATTTGGGATTGAGAAATTGCTGGAATAAAACTAGTTCTCCAACAAGAACAAAAGGCCCAATCACTAAGACTGCACTTTTTCTAAATGTACAATTTTATTATACATGACAACGGCATATTATTTCATTTATAGATGTACTGTATATTCACTCTGCCTCTGTTTGTAGTACTTGGTTGGATACTATACTGCATTGTGTTGCACTGATACTCACTGGAAGCAATGACAATGAAACTCAATCTCATCCAAAAGGCAAAACAAATGTTTTGATCATAATAGAAAAAGCTATTGAGATCATTTATAATGTAGATTTTATCTTCTAACAATGGGGACTTCAACAGTGAGGCAATTGACTTATGTGTACTGGTCAATGAATATATGAGTTGCCACAGAAGTATACTTTGAAGCAGCAATTGAGGGGTTTAGCAACATTGTAAAGGTCAGTGTTTACCTTTTTAGATTGTAGATATCTCGAGGTCATATATGTGGTTTGAATGTTAAGGCCGTCTGACATGTTTTACAGCCGAGTCAGTTACTTGACCTTCACTTACCCTACTACGTAAGAGTAATAGGGGCAAGTCTGGGTAACGAATTGCGTTACACTGTGTGAAGAAACAACAACCTGTGAATGGGAGAAATAACTCTGGAACAACATGTTAATCCGTTTACACTATACACAGAAAAACGAGCTCATGCTTAAAATGAGAAGAAATGTGTGTCAGACATGCTTAAATGTGACAAATTAATTATGTTATGTTAGCAAAGTTACACCCAGAAAGACGGCTAGTAAAACTGCTAGGTTTGGCTAATTTTATTACCATATTAATTCATGCTAGCCTGCTCAACTAGTTTGTTCAGTTGAAGCAAGCATGCAGGCGTGCTTATATTAGCTAAGGCTAACTAAGGATGGGCATATGGTTGCTAACGCTGGTTAGCAATCGATAGCATGTTGTCAATTAGCAGCCCCTTTTAGCTAGTAGTTGTAAAAGCAAAACACATGTGATTAGCTGTGTGTGTAGCTTACCTTGACAGAGTCCACGGGGTACATCACCGTGTGCTCCAGGATGCCCGCCACGGCTCCTGCTGTCATGTGGGTCGCCACTGAGACATGAGGTGGCAAGCTCTCGTAGTCCCCGTCACTATCAAAAGGCTCATCGTCCTCTTTGCTTTTGACCTGCGACATGTCCAGAGCTGCCACCACCGGGTCCGAGCTCAACTCCATGCGTGGAGAGATCTCCCCCGTCCGTATTCTCCACAGGATAACACTCAGAGAGCAGTCGGCAGCATGGATAACCACAACATCATCGCTACTTAGTAGAGTTCCAGCGCCCGTGTGACGTCCCCAAATCGGAGGCGTGGCTAAGATTATTATGGACCAATCAGATGTAGGATATTGGCGGGCTCTTGGTTTAAGGCGTCCAATTAAAACTTCCTGTGGTGGATTCCTCTGACACTTCACTGCGCTGCTGTGCATCCCTGCTTGTCTCTGTTTTTGAATGGGTTTGTCAAAAGTGTTAATCTCATAGTCCTGCTTGAATAGATAAATAGGTTTGGTCCCCTTATCAGGCAGTTTGTTTTCACTATAGATGACCTGCAACTCCCCTTACTCATAAGGACGGATCCTCAATTGAATAGGCAATAGTTATGACTGCTAGTAAAAACTATAATGTAAATATTCAGATCCCAAGGCAAGTTAAGTAAGTAGCCTAGCAATGACCCACTTTACAGTATTTTATTTCAAGTAGCCTACACGTGCTTCAATGTTTAAAAAAAAGTAAGATAAGAGAGGGTTTGTCACCAAATATTACTAATAGGCTAAGTACTCTAGCTTTATTAATTATGTTCAAAATTCATATTAATAAAAGGCTAAATTGGATTTTTGTTGCTGATTCATTAACATTTTAACCTGTTTTTAATATTTTGGCTGGTCGAGATGAATTACATTCTAACAACTATTGTAATGTGTATTGTCTGATTATGTTATCAAGAACAGTACATCCAATTTTATTAACTGATTTTATTACAAATACAATCTGAAAAACATGCAATTTAACTAAAGCTGCGCAAATACATTTTGGGGGGCAAAAATTCATACATTTTCTATTAAGTTAGTTTCCAGCACTGGGGTAAAGTTGTAAATTATATCCTCCAAAAAGGACCAGACATGACAGAAATCTTACTTTTAAATATGTGTTTATATTAGTTGTTATTTGTCTGGACACTTAAATTGCATAGTAGTTTGTTGTTGTTGTTGTTGTTGTTGTTGTTGCTGCTTGCAACTAATCTTCACGTTTTAAGGAATGCAGCACCATACAACGTTTCTAATCAATGGTTAAATGTTAACTACTAGTGGTCTGGTCATTTGTTCAAGCAACCTGTATTTTTGGAAGGATTATCCAACAATGATTAAGAGATTATTATTTGTAAGGATTATCCAAAGGGACTTTTTGAAACCACTTGGTGTGAAATATCTGAACAGTTAAAAAAAGACTTTTCCACTGCCTAACATGACTCAGTAACACCCACTAACATCTGCCTCTTGTTTTGGGGAAAGGTTATAATCCACATTCATTCTCTGGACAATTGACTCTACAGTAGTCATGGGAAATAAATATTCAGAAAAATTTAAAAATAATAAGTGAGCTTATGCAACAACCACGTCACAACACCCACTCACTTGTAACCCTACTTAATTCAACATACTGATCTGCACGAATCATCCCTACACGCCATGTGAACAAATAAGGAAAAGGGAACAAGGGGTGCACTTCTGTTTCTAAGTTTCAGCTCCTTAAAATAACATTATCATTACATTTTTAAACATGTACATAATGCTGCTGCAAAGGTGCAAGTTAATTACATTTTCTGTTTCAAATAGCTTGTTAAAAACGAATTATCTTAAAGTGGCTGAATAAATGTCTGTACAACTTTCTCATCACATCTCTTATTCTTAATAATTTATACTGAGGATTTCCTTGCTGTGTCGTCCGGTTTCTTGTTACAGGCCAATAGTTTACATTTCAACTTTACCATCAACAAGATCCTAGTTTTTGTTGAAGATATCAGCAGATTCAACCAAAACATAATAGGAATTCAGTGATAATCCACTCTACTTATTCCACCACAGAGAGACATCTGAGCCTTTGATTCCTCCAGTCGATGCTATTAAAGAAATAAAAACAGTATTATAAGGATTGTTACTATTAGTCATTTCCTGTCTGTTGACTAAATGTTTTATATATCCTGGTTAACTCACCATTGAACCTGAGCCTACTGCAGTGTCGCTATGGGTGTGTCGGATAACTGTGTTACACATCAGTGACTCAGCATTATAGGAGCCTGCATTTTAAAGAGCCACCTGTTAGAGCATGTTTTATTACAGATAATAATAATAAAATGTCATTTATATAGCAATTCTCATCTGCCAAGACAAATCTCAGAGCGCTTACAAATCTCGAAGCACAAGATAGTGTCCTGTTCACTTGTCCAATAGGGAAACTATAGTCAGAGAGAAGCATTAAAGGTCCCCTATTATACTGTTTTTCATCAATAGTAGGTCTCAGATATATACAAAACATGTCTCTGAAGTGTTTGGCTCCAAACACCAAACAGATCATTGCAGCATCCCATAATCCCCTCTGTTTCAGCCCTGTTTCAAAAGTGCTGATTCTCTGTCTGTTACTTTAGATGAAAATAAGGAGCCCCTCCCCACGCCCCTCTGAGAGAGATTTGGTTAAAAAGAACACAATGGTGCTCTAGGAGGAGATTCAGGTGATAAGAGGGGGAGGGGGGTTGCTGATTGGCTAATGGTTACACAAGCCAAAACATCGTTATGACATCATAAACTGGCCAAAAGCTGATAAACTCATTTTCAGACAGGTTTTTATATAAATGGATCAGGACAAAAAGAGAAAGAATCTTTTTTCCTGAAACTTNCAGAATTTGACTTTTTCTTCTAAGTATGCATTTTTTCTCAGAATTTGACTAAAAAAAAAAGGAAGTGACATTTAAAAAGAAAGCAACATTTTGGAAACAAAGTCAAATTCTGAGAAAAAATGCATACTTAGAAGAAAAAGTCAAATTCTGAGAAAAAAAGTCTAATTTGAGATGCATTGTGGGACATGTAGTTTATGGGCAACGTGCTTCTGTAAATCGCCATGTAACCGTATAATAAACATATAATAATCTTTGCAAGCTCTTGTGGGGCCACAGAAAATTAAGTCACGGGCCGGATTTGGCCCCCGGGCCTTGAGTTTAACACCCTTGGTTTAGACAGTATCTGCTGGGTTCTGCATGAGCTCAGCCCCCTCCTTTTTTATTTTGTATCAATCTTTTTTTTTTTTTAAAGCTTTATACATAAAATCAGCACTTGTGAAACAGGAAGTGAAATAGAGGGATATGAGGCATGGCTAGAATGGGTGATCTGTTTGGTATGTTGAGCAAAACACTTCATAGACATGTTTTTTATATATTTTTATATTTATGAGACTTATGCTATTGCCTAAAAATAGCATGATAGGTGACCTTTAAAGCATGTAAACATGTCACAGTAGAGGCACAAAATACAACTATGAACCTGAAAATGAGTCACAATGTTTAAAATATCTTTCTTTTTTCAGACACGGATGCAGAGCCTGCAGCCGTCGCCAAACGCACAGTACAAGGGTGTGTATCAGGCTCTGAAGAGGATCATCCAGACAGAGGGGGTCCTCCGACCGCTGAGGGGCCTCAACATCACCATGATCGGAGCGGGGCCCGCACATGCCATCTACTTCGCCTGCTATGAGCGGGTCAAACGCTCACTCAGTGACGTAATGCAGAGCGAAGGCAACAGCCACTTGGCAAATGGTAAATGTTCCCACGTTTCAACATCAATATCTTGATATTACTGACTGCTTTCACACTGGGCTAAGTAACAACGCCTGGAGGAGGGTTGTGGGATAAGTCATTATATCCTGTTTACAACGGAGAGGATAAAGTCATCCAAACATGCTATCTGGGATGTGCTCGTACCAACCTTTCTTTCATGCATTCAAACAGCTCAAACAAATAATTCACTTGTACTGAATAAAGGCTCCAAATTTGTAAAAAATGAACTTGATGTTAAAACGCTTGTAACCAAAGTCATTCATTTAGACAATATGTGTTTGTTTCACCAGGTTTGGCAGGTTGCGTGGCCACTGTTCTCCACGACGCCGTCATGAACCCAGCTGAAGGTAAGACAAAAGGTTACTCTATAGGTCTATGTGATGCACGATTATGTTTGAATAACATTTCGATTAATGTCGCAGCCCGAATGTAAATACTAAATGCATTAGAAACATTCAAATACAAGTCATTTTCAAGTATCACCATTTTTTTTTTGGTCGAAACAAAGAACTTATTTATCTTTTTAAAAGCCTAAAAATAGCTGTTGAATTGCATTATGGGAAATAATATTAAAGGTCACCTATTATGAAAAATCCCCTTTTTCATGTCTTGTATACATACGCTTTGAGCACCAGGAAAAGCGCTTTATAAATGTAATGAATTATTATTATTATTCTAAACGTGTGTCCCCTCTGTGTAAAGAGATTCTGAAAGTTTCAGGAAAAAAGATTCTGTCTCTTTTGTCCTGATCCATTTATATAAAAACTAGGGCTGTCAAGCACATTTTCTTTTAACGCCACTAATTATTTTAACGTGCGATTAACGCATGTGTATTTGTCCTCAGCCCTCCCCGTAGTTTCAGAGCCCAAAGGCTTGACGTTGTTGTTGTTGTTGGATGGTGGGAGAGGGGGGGGTAGTGAACTGTCAACGGGGGGGAAAGCCTCGCTGCGGGGAAACGGCGTACCTCTGTCGGCGCAACTTCGATGAGGTCGTTTAAAAACATAGTAAGGGCGGTGCCGGCCGTCAGCGAACCGAGCCGGCCGTCAGCGGTACTTGACGACCGGCCGTTCTGTGGTTCTCCAGATTCTACAGACGGCCAGTCCGCCCCTGCTGACAGCCCCGCTCCTGTCGCTCGCTTGCGGCAGACCACGCTTGAAAGTTTGCCGGGGAGACGCCTGGACAACAACAGCGATAGCTAAATGGGTGGCTACAGCTTAACATTGTGGAGGACGAGGGGTTGCGTTAGATCATTCGGATCGCATCCAACGTGTCGACTGCACATCACAGCGCTTCAGAACTTCAATCTCATGCTTTGACTGAAGATGAAGACAGAGGAGCGGCATTTCGCCGACAACTGTAAACAGGCTTGTCTGTTTGAGCAACTGGCTCAGTGCAGAGAAGTAGACAGGGTTAGGAGAGAGTGAAGAGAGAGAGAGAGGTTCCAGGTTGTTGTGTTGAGAATATTCAGGAGAATATTTGTCATTGTTCCAATGATAATAAACAAACATTTGCATAAAGCTTATTTGTCCACTCATATGTTGATAAGAGTATTAAAAACTTGAAAAATATTCCTCTAAGGTACATTTAGAACAGATAAAAAATGTGCGATTCATTTGTAATTAACTATGGACATCATGCGATTAATCGTGATTAAATATTTTAATCGACTGACAGCCCTAAAATATATATATCAGACAGTACTTACAGGCATAATGAGATATAAACAATATAAACAGCAGAATGAAATTGAGTAGACTTTGTCAGGTTGTAAAATAGACATTATATCACTATAGACAGAATTTTAAATATGAATATACTGTATAGACTATTATTGACATTTGTACATGATAATTAAACTGTGAACAAGAACCTTACACATTAAACAATGTTAAGCTATTGCCCTCGTTATTTTTTTATTCAATACAAAAACATCACTGTACTAAGCTCTACCACAACTGTATTGATCACACACCCAAACTCACCACCCACCCTTTACTTCAGCTGCTATGAACAAGTTCACATCAGGAGACCGACACACTACACGTACATCTGAACACAATGTGGATTAGTTCTCGCGCTCGCTAATACGGCGGGGCGGATGAGTTTGAAGTACCTCAGCTGTGTGCCATGGGAAATAGTAAGCTACATATAATTCGGTTGCGGGAATAACACACCGGAATTATACATATAACGATATGACAATCACAACAACTCGCACACTGCACCTTGGTAATAGACATAGATCACTACCTTCTCGTCAGCGCTCACACTCAGGGAGTCCTGATGTTCTGTGGATGCCCACCAACATTCTTATCTCCCTCTGCTTCCCAGTCTTTATGCTTAATGCATATTGAATACGCAATAGGAACAATTGTGGTGGTCTCTCCATAGATATCACAAGAGGTTCCAAGGTACTTATTATAGCAAACCGCAGGGCTGGGGCTCCTTGGAATCGAGGATGTATTTAGGGATTCTACAAAGATTGTAAGCACTTTACGCAGGTCTCGCCTGCAGCCATGGACACATTGAGTCTGACAGTGCTATCAGTATTTTTGCACCTGATG